CTTCTCAAAAACATTTAAAGGATCCCTTTAAATGCTTTTGGGAACAAGTGGGCGATGTATGCGCTCCCTCAATTCCCCCCCAATCAAAATCTCAAGGAAGGGGGCGGGGGCCCCAATCGCCCCACTAGGCCTGGAAGGGCTGTAGGGATTTCAGCAAGCCAGTGTGCGTGAACAGTTGAAAACGTTATATAGATAGCAACTGTCGGTCGAGCTTGTAAGCAGAACTCGCAGCACTGTGGCCTGCCGTTCTCTGAACTGGGAAGCCCCTGTGCTCCAGCTCCCTACCAAAGCGATTTGCAAGGGGCCAGGAAGCATTAATGAACACCACCAGGGGGGAGTACTGAGTAACATGACAGTAATTCCCTTGGGGGACTTGTCAAGCAGGATGCGACAGTGTTCAAAGGCAGTGTACCTCTAGTGGCAAACAGTGCTGGACTAGGTCTGATCTGGCAGGGCTGTTTCGCAGTGAAGGGGTTGCCAGTCACTCGCACCCCTTCCCCTTTCTTTGATTTCTCAAAGTCCTGTCAGTTTTGGCCATGTCCTCCAGATTTGGTGGAAGGGGTTAAGATGTGTGTGTGTACCCCCCCCCCCCCCCGGCTGCCTTTCTGAGTTAGCAGTACAATCTCGAACCAAACTTGATAGACGATTCCAACCAGTGATGGAGAAATGGACTGTCAAAGAATAAACTTTTTTTAAAAAACAGAGAGTGGATTCTTTTGCCTTTTCTAGCAGCGGCAGGGAAGGGAACAGCTCTTTTTCAGGCACACCAAGATTGAGTTAAGGTCTGATATGGTGCTTGGGAGCTGGTGTGTGTGTGTGCCCGGGCATATATATGCTGCTTGTACCAGAGAGTCAGGGAGTTCAAGAATTAATCTTCCCTGGAGAAAAGAGACAATCACCTCAACTCTCCTCTCTGGGGAAGATTAAGTCTTGAACTCCCTGACTCTTTGATACAAGCAGCATCTTTTTTAAAAAAAACCTGCTGCAGTCCTTCACACACTTCCTTAAATACTTCTTTCCACTGCCGTTCAAAGCAGCTTACAAGAATAACTAAAAAATTTTTGTTGTTCAGTTGCACAATCGAGTCCAACTCTTCGTGACCCTGTGGACATCATCATGCCAGGCCCTCCTGTCCTCTGTCGTCCTCCAGAGTTTGCTTAATTTCATGTTCGTTGCCTCAATAACACTGACCATCTCATCCTTTGCCGTCCCCGTCTTCTTTGACCTTCAGTCTTTCCCAGCATCAGGGTCTTCTCCAGTGGAGGGCTCCCTTCTCATTTGGTGGCCAAAGTCTTTGAACTTCAGCTTCAGGATCTGGGCATCCAGGGAACAGTCGGGGTTGATTTCTTTTAGGATCGACTGATTTGATCTCCTTGCAGTCCAAGGGACTCTCCAGAGTCTTCTCCAGCTTTTAGGTAAGCATTAAAAATGTGTACAGTATGCCTCCGCTTCCTGCTCTGGTCTTGGATCCACTGGGCTGCCACAAGCCATGAGTCGTGGGCTCCACTTCTGGGCCTGGCCCAGGCTTAAATACCTGCAACAGGGAGAGAAACAGGAACTCAAACCAGCTGCCACCAGAGGTGGTCCGAGGATTCCCCTTCCGTGCACCCCTGAAACTACAACCCATAATTCAAAACCTTCCACACAGTGCTGTGATAATTTGGTTGGCCTTACTCAACGACATCACACAACTTTTGTACATAGAATGGTCCTGCTGTCTGCCTTCCATGTTAGCAGCACAGCATGCAGCATGACCTGTTGGAGGACTGGCTAACTTTTAGTGTGAGAAAAGCTGTAGCTGTTGTCTTAGGGGTGGGGGGGGGCATCGGGGTACGGGGTATCACGTCTGCACATAGATATGCCCACTCTACCTTGTGATCATAAGTCGTGTACCTGGTGTAGTGGTTAGAGAGTATTCGAGCTAGAGGGTGGAGTTCGGATCCCAACTACAAAGGTTTAGTGGACCTTGGGTCAGTCGCTGTCAGCCTGGCCTACTTTGCAGGGCTGTTGTGAGGATCAAAGGGCAGGCAAACAAACAGCCCCAGTCAGTATGAGATTTAACCCATTAAGATGGATGAACCTGCAATGGGATTCCTATCTCATCCAGTTCTAAAGCAACAACAAATACTCAGTGGAATAACTGCCTGTCTACAAGCATCTGGGAGGCCAGCACAGAAAGGGAGCCAACGGCGGCCGTTTACAAAGCTTCCACTAGAGGTCGCCAGCTCTTTGTCTAGGAGACCAGGCATTCTTGCTAGGCTGAACTAAAAGCAGAGGCAGACAGTGTCCACTACCTTTTAGATCCAGCCAGTGGGTCTCCTGTGTACCATTTGATCCCGGAGGGTGGATTGCTAGACCATTTGGGATTTTTTCTTTGGGGATTGAGTAAAGCAGGGAGACAAGAAGTTGGATAGGCAAAGATAACCACTGTTCTGTAGAACTAAGTTTGAGTCCTGTGCAGGGGTCATTTCCTACAGGAGCGAAATGACCCCTGGTCCTGTGGCACCTTTTAAGACCAGCAAAGTTTAATTCTGTGTATAGGCTTCCGTGTGCATCATCAGATACACGGTTCTGTGGGTATTCCAAAGGCCAAACCAAACTGCAGGAAAAGCCCTGCACCATTTCTGGCAGGAGAGCTAATGTTGCCAGCCTCCAGGTGGAGCCTGGGGATCTCCCGCTTTTACAGCTGACAGAGATCAGCTCCCCTGGAGAAAATGGCTGCTTTGGAGGGTGGACTCTATGGCCTTGTACCCTGCTGAGGCCCCTCCCCTCCCCAAACCCCGCCCTCTCTCGGATCTACCCCACAGTCTCCAGATGTTTTCCCACTCAGACCTGGCAACTCTAAGGAGGGCCCCACTCCTCCTCTCAAATCCCTCAAATATAATTTCCTGCCTCCAGGTTTTTGGCATGCGTTGCGGGTGGTGGTTCAGCGGTGCTTAAAGCAAAGCTAGGTGGGGACGGGGGGGGGCTTTGCAGAGCTGTTTTTTGGGAGAAATTTAACCTCTTTTTCTGTACAACCCTGAAGTATTTCTATGGTCAGGCCAAGGGTCTCACCAACCCAGCATCCTGTTCCCACTGTGGTCAGCCAGAGGCCACAGGGAAGTCCACACAAGCATGGCAGGGAGGCCACAGTCTCCTCCCTCGTGTTGACCCCAAGCAAATGGCATTCAGTGGTACACTGCCTTGGAACATGGAGGTTCCATTTAACCATCATGGCTAGAAGCTGTTGCAAGGCCTCCCTGTGAAGGAGAGAGGGGCCTCCCTTTTAAATGCAACTAAGGTTGCGGCCTCCAGATGGGGCGTGGAGATCTTCCAGAATTACAACTAACAGAGATCAGTTCCTCTGGA